TCTCTGCGTCTGTTTTGTTCTCCATCTTTTGCAATGAAATTTTCTTTATTTTGACAATTTTCTTTGGTGACTTTAACTCGCATTTAATTGCCGCAACTTTCGACTTAGACTTTTCCCCTAATTAATTAAAAAACTTTGCCAAACCAAAATGCCAACTCACCCAGAAACCATTTCCATCGCATCCCTTCTGCATGAAAACCCCTTTCTCTGCATGGTGGTTTTTGGTGGTAAAAAGTGTGTCCCAAAGTAAAAGTCATGTTGGAGTTGGAGTTGGAGGTGGAGTTGCCAAAAGTCAAATAAAAGATTTGCGGTTGCCAATGAATAAGTGAAGTGGCGGCTTTTGCCTGCCTAACCCGGCCGCAAAGGTGACTTTGATTGGATACAAAATGGAGGGGGAAGTACTAACTAACTGCTGGCCAGAGGGGGGAAGTGAGTCAAAAATGCGGCTCACCAAACCGCAGAGCTGCAAAATGAAAGAGTTGCTCTAGAGGAGTGAATGGAATGACTGATGGGAAGAATCCAGAGAAGCTTTCAAACACTTAAGAGGCGAATGATGAAAGAGTTTTGTGCGGTTTCAATGTCGTTGTAATATTAAATTTCATATTTTAAGAATTCGCAAATGCTTTAAAAGAACGAAAAGCCTTTCGGCAGGGTCTGTGGCTCTGACCATTTAAATATTTTCGCATATTGTCTCTATCCCTTGCCTCCGAGTGCATCTCTTAGAAAGGTTTACAGTTTACAGAATGTGTATCTTTTGTGGCAAGCATAAGAGATAGAATTAGTTAACATGGTAAAATAATCACTGGACGCACACATGGTTACAGATCCCTTTCGGCCAGCACACACACACACACACACAAACACATTCCGGACAAACTGCTCTTGTGTGTCTGGTGTTTCCTTTTCTCTTTCAACTTGCGAGGCTGCAAAAATGTTTCATTTGTTCTGGTACTTTTTCCAACAGTATTTACATCTTTTGTTGCTTACTTAACAGACAGATGTAACATCTGATGTGAAGGCTGACGAGATTTAGTCTTCATTTTTGTAAGCTTTATTTTTATATTTATGCCCTTTAAAGAGAGGTATAATGGATCATATGATGAGTTTGTGGCGTTGAAAGGTTCGGCAGGAAGGAAGATATTTAACATAAATCTATCCCAGGACCTTTCGTTGTTGCAGTGTATCCAAGTTTCCCAAAGGTCTCTTTTTCTCTGTACGCTCTCTATTTTTCTTTAATGCGACGTTGCTAAGCATCGAATTGATAGGGATTGTTGCTACTACTGTTGTTGTTTTCTTTTGTCGCTCACTGTGATTGTTTTCAAAGCTGCTGCCGCTGCTGCCGTGCATGTAAACGTACATATGCGAGTGACTGTGCGGACTGGAGTATGTGTGTGTGTGTGTGTGGGTGTTTATCTTGTCGCCATCTGCCATCATGCTTTTGCCTCTCTCTGTTCATTCTGCTTTGTTCTGTTTAATTTTCTGCTTGCCTTTGCATCCGGCAGCTGTTTGTCCCTTGTCTCCCACTTCATCTTGCCCACTCTCTGTACAACTTCCCCTGCCTGTCGCTGCTTGTGCATTGTTTTCATTAATGTTATTATTCAACATTTCTACGAGTATGTTTACGTCATGCCCCTCGACAGCGAACGGTAGTTTCTAATTTGTATGCATAATTTACAGTTCGACTCGGAAGAGCAGTAGACATGGAGTGATGCAGGATGCCAGCTTTATGCCATGCACATTGAGTGGGAGGTGGAAGTGGGAGTGGGAGTGGCAAGTGGGTAGTGGGTGTGGGTGTGGGAAATTTGCAATTGTCAATAAGCCCTAAGCCCCATTGTGTGAGCCCTTCTATGAATTGACGAGCTGCTGCCCAAGTATTACCCAGAGAATAGAGGATTTTCAAATGAAAGTAGCAAAGTATATTGATTGAGACTATTGAGAGAAGCTTTAATTGTAAGTATTATGTCATTGTGGGAAAGTGGCATTGAAGAATTCCCCCAGCGAGTATGGGCATCCCTGGAAAAACATATCTGAAAAGCAAGAAAAAAGGGAAACTTTTGCATGGGCGAAACCTTCGAGTTGCAATAGTTTTGCACGATTGCCTGGAGAGGAAGCACCCACCCAAGATGGAACAAAAACAGAGGTAGAAAGTAACCTAAAAGAAAAGTGAATTGCATACCGAGATACTTCGTATATTTTGCGATCCAGCTGTTTTTCTTCATGCCTTTTGCAAAGTCAAACTTTTAATTAAGGAAAATAGAAAAAAGAAAACAGAAAAAAATCAAATAAAAGAATAGATTGATGCGGGGAGAACGCTGCAGCACGTATTGTTATCGAATGAGAATTTGGAGAGCAACTGCAGCTGCAATCAATCTAAATGTCGAGCTTTCAATAATATTGTCAGCCAGGAAGCGCAGTCACCTGGCAGGGGGTCAGACCTGCATAACACGTTTGCATACCTTTTTCCAACTGAACAAACTTTGGGGCCATGGCAAAACTTGTGGCAAAACCCCCGAGCAAGTCGTGTGAAACAAAGGCCGGGACATGCCAAAGAGGACAGAGCCAGAACTCGACTTGAGGCTTGATTTTGTAACAGAAAAAATCCTCAGTCCAATCTCAATTGGGATTATATAAGCGCAAATTTCTTGCTTTCAAAAACCTTCCTTGCGGATCTGTGGCTAAGTAATAGGTACCACTTCTGGTGTGAATTCAACTGTCAAGTACATTTGTCTGTGACTTTTCTCTAGATTCTCCCATTACTCCGACATAACCGCTTCCTCCAACAGGGCCCTGACCAGCGGCTACTACTAAGCAGAAGGGACATGCAGATCTTCCACCTACCCGAAGGCATGCTCCACGTTACCATGTACAAGAAATACGATATGCTGCGGATCGGGGAGCTGCCCGACTTGGAGGCTATTGGCACTGAGATACCCTTCAAGGAGGGAATCTCAGCCTCGTTATTGTAATGTCCACGATGCTCAACTGCTATTCGAAGCTACAGGAATCACTGTGGATGACGTGATACTTCCTCCAGGTGATGGAACTTGTCGTAAACTTGGACAAGGCAGTTCATTGTTGATAATATTGGTATACTCGTATCAGCATTGGAAACAGCAAAAGGGTCGGAAAAGGCTCTTCGAAACAAGCCTTTAATGGTGTCACAGCTGACCTTTGTTCGCTTTGCTCGCTGATGCGTATTCCTTTGGCGTTTTCGCCCCCTATGCACTTCAATGCACTTGACATTTTTATTAAAAGCTTAAAGTTGTAGTCGCAGTCAACGTGAAGCAGAAGGAAGAACACACAGCACACACACGAATGTGCATAAATGTCATGTGACAAGGATATTTGTGCTGCAGTGGCAGTGGCAGTGGCAGCGGCTGCTTGCAACTTATTGGCTGCAGGACACACACGCATCTGCCTCTCGTAGTCCCTCTTCAGGCTTCCTCCTGCGTCCCCTGATGGCTGTCCCATGTAACAATGTAATAATGCCAGAGTGAGAGAGAGAGAGAGAGAGAGTGAGCGAGCTTGGAGTCTATATCCTCTGCAGGGCTTTAACTTTCGCAGTTCGCATTTGGCGTTCAGTCATTTTTCTATCTCCCACTGGGATTTACTTATATGACACTAAAACTCCCTGCAGGAGCAATGCAAGCGCTGGCATCATTTATTTCGTGGGGCTTTTCTCTCAGCTCGCACTGCGAAAAGAAAATTGCACTGCGTGACATTTTCTGAGAACTCATTTGACAAATGATTGGGTGAAAGGCAAACAATTGAAATTGAGTGTCTCTCTCTCTCTGTCTCTTAAAGCGATGCCCAAATTGGGCTAATGGCAGTGCACCACTCTGCCGCTCTGGGCTTGTGCCCCATTTAAATATGCCAAACACATGTCGTATGCGCAATATTCGCCATACAAAACCAGTCTTCGCAGTCGGGCAACGAGAGTCCGCAGACAAACGTGCGAAAAGCAGCATTTTGTCTGTGGAAATTTTCGCTTTCGCACACATAATTTTCGTGCATAATTTGGAAGGATTTGAAATGGGGTCGCATTCGCATTCGCATTCGCATCCTGGGCTGGGATGGGCCATGCCTGCCACAGGCAACCAGCAGAGCGGCAATAGTGGCAGCAGTAGGGAAACAGATTTGCAATGCACAAAATGTTTATTTGATATGTGTATATATATGGTTTCCCCCCACAGCTGTATGGGTCGCGCAAAACCGATGCTTGTTCATAATGTGCATAAACATTCTCGCATCCCACACGGATGCTGCCGTTGATTTGGGTTTGCCGCCGCCTTCGCATTGTCTTCCAGCTGTTGTATGTTAGATATTTTGACTATGCCACTGCCTTTTTGTAGTTGTTGCTGTTGCAACAGCAGCATGTTCCCGCATTGCATTTGTCGGATGTGGCAGGGCCTGCAGTTGCTGCCACAGCCACTGATAATGATGCCAACATGGCTGTGTGTGTGTGCGGTTTTTCATTTAAGTTTGTTTAATTAATTGAATTTCGGTCTGCTGCTGAATGTAAATCGGATAAATCTTCATGAATTTTAGCTCTATTGAATGTGTTTTCAGTGAAGTTTATATTCAAATTGGCAGTATCTGAATATTTTTGAGGATTCAAACTGCAACATCTATTGCGAGTCATTCGTATTCAAAATCAAAGACAAACGATTCGTGCCGCAGGGCCGCAGGGCCACAGGGAGGCAAACTAATTTGCACACAACAAAATGTCCAACATGCGATTGAGCAAACATTTGCACGGCAAAGGCTGCCTGGCAATTACCATATGAAATTGAACATTTTAAATGATTAAGCGGTAGCCAACAACCGCCATAACAATCGGCACTAACATGCATACAAGTATAAAAGTATGCAAAAATATACAAGCTAAATGAGTGTGGAACCGCTGGCGTTGCTGACAGCATAATCAGCGTATAATTTGCATAAAATTAAAACATGAATTTGCATGTCCAAATCAAATCAGAACCCCCCGACACACGAGATTTAACAGTGGAGCAACAAATATTATGTTTATTGATCGATTCACATATGCTTAACAGAGAGCTTCAATGGAAGGCTACTCTGGACAATACAAGGGCAAACAATTTCCTTAAGATTAGACAATGAAATAGGAGCAAGTATCTGGTGACTAACTTTCTTTGAAAAATCTAAAAGATCCCTCAGGAGCAAATTCTTGATTCGTTTTCATAGCTAACTCTGTTGCTGGTAGCTTTTTTTTTCCTGAAATTATTAACATCTGCAGTTTTGGAATGTCAGTTTACTGTGTGTTTGGGTATGTTGGGAGTGTTTTCTTTTGGAATAACTGGCTTGGATATTTTGGGAACAACTATTTCTGGAATCGTTGATGGTACATTTTTGGGATCGTTAATCGGTGGTACTTTCGTTGTTTTTTGGCATATTTATATTCCTAATTCTTGGCCAATTAATGTGGGGAATCGTTATTTTTGGCGTGCTAATTGGGTAAATGTTTGGTACTTTTGGATGGATTATACCAGAAATACCTGGCTTTGTAATGTTGGGCTCTAGTAACTGAGGAATTGTTACTTTAGGTCGTTTAATTGGTAGTACTTTTGGTTTTTGTAGGGGGTTTACTTTAGGAATACCTGGCGTTGGTGAAGTTGGGCTGCCAGTATCGGTAATCGTTTGTTTGTGTGTAGTAACTGATAGTGTATTTGGTTGGTAAACATTAGGTATCCGTGGTGTAGTAATAGATGGAGTCCCAAGGTCGGGAATCTTTTGTTTTGGTGTACTAACTGATGGTGTATTTGGGTGGTTTACACTAGGAATACCTGTCGTTGGAATACTCGTGAAACCAGCATCGGGAATCAGTTGTTTTGGAGTACTAATTGATGGAATATTTTGATCGCTTGTATTGGGAATGCCTGGCACATTAATAGGTGTAATTGCTAGTTGTGGTATCGTTATTTTAGACAGGCTAATGGATGGTATTATCGGTATTTTTGCGACACTTGTGTCAGGGATACCTAGTTGGGATAACTTCGTTTGAGGGAGATTAATGGCTGATAAATTTGTGGGCGTTGTCCCAGATATAATTGGCTTGGAAATATGCTGCAAGGTTGTTGGTTGCGCAGGCTGTGAAGGTTATATTCAGGCATAAATCGCATTTAAATCAATCGAATAAAATGGAAAATGTACGTACCATTGCAGTGCCAATTGTGTTTGAATTCGATATGTGGGTTGTCCATTGTGGAGGGCTTGTGGTAACGATAGGGTCTCTTGAAGCACCCGTCGTCTGGCGTATCTGCGTTGTATATTTTGTCGTATATGCTGGGGCGCCAGTTAGACATGGACATGGGCTTGAAGTGGGCAGAACACATCGTCCCTGTGCGGCAACATATGGAGGAATGCAGATAAAGCTCGGCATGTGCAGCACAAATCCACAAAGCACATCAACAGATACGCTCAGGAGTGACACCCGTAAGATCCACACGCGAACCATTCTATCCAAGAGGCTTGAATCTATATTCTGTTCAATATTTAAATACAATTATTTCACTACGGTTGATGGCTGATTGGATCTGGTAAACCTTGACGAAATGCAAAGGCTTAAAGCAATTTGATGCCCTCTCTAGAAAGATGAAACAGCTAAGTGAAGATCAATGCATTGTCCTATGAATAAATAAGCCATCAAAAAGTCACCAGGTTGAGGATGGAGTTGGAGTGTGGTGTGTGGAAAATTGGTAACCATTTGGGCACGCTCCAGACGTGTCAAAGTGACAATTCTTTATTTAAATATTACCCCACTCTCTCATTCTCTCCCACTATCTGTCTCTCTCTCTCTGACTGTGATGAATGACGGCAACAAAAAAACAAAGCTACAACCATAGAGCTCTGGTCACATTTGCGTGCCAGCGACGTGAGCAGCATGACTGAAGAGCGGAAGCAGGAGAATGAGCAGAGGAGTAAGAGTTGGAGTGGGAGTGGGAGTGGGAGTGAGAGGGAGGCTGGTGAAAAAGTGTGGCCATTGTTGGCACAGGTAGAAATGCCATGACATTTATCAACGACTGTTACACTCCTCACTCGAGGAGTTTTTTCTGCGGGACGTGGTGGAATGAAGCCATCAAAATGTGCATCTTGTTTATTTATCAACAGATTAGCAGGCCGTTTCGGTGTCGCCTCTTGTCATCTTCCTCGCTCACACACACACACACACAACCACACACATTCCTTCTCTTTTCCTCTGCTGTGTTTAATGGCACATGAAATGGCAATAAACTTTTGCGGCATGTAGTTAAGTATAACTTACGCCCAGAGCGCTCATAAGTCAAAATGCTCGCCCAATTTGAAAGGAAAGGGGAATCGGGAACTGGGAGCTGGGAACTGGGAACTGGGAGCTGGGAGCGTACTGTGGCCAACAGGCACGCTATGAGTGTAGGCGTGTGCTGACAGTTGCGGGCCACACCATGGCACAGAGCAGCAGCACACTGTCGTCCCTGGGGTCTGTTTTGTCCTCTTCTCTTTGCTGCCATCTGCCTCGAACTGTGAAATATGTTGCCTGCTTTAGCGGGCAGCGGGGCAACTGCCACTATGGCTCTATCTCTATCTCTATATCTATCTCTATCGCCTTGGCAACCCACTCTTATGAGTTTTGCGGTTTATTGTAGGCGTGGCGCGTGCCAAACTTAACATACACACAATCGCATTTTTATGCCACACAATTTTCGCTTTCCACTCACGTACCACAACTGTAAGGGAGTGGTGTGGAGGTCCTTTGGGGACCTCTGTCGCGTCTACTATAAGTTCATAATTCATTTTTTCATTATTATTTTCATTTTCACATTTTCGGTTTCGGGTTTCGAGTTGCGAGCTGCGAGTTGCGAGTTTCTCGTTCTCTTTGCTTTTCCTTTTCTTTGACAAATTGTTTTAAATTGCATTTAACGCACAGAAAAGAGATGAAAAGGTATTGGAAGTGGCATGCCACTTGTATGCAAGTAACTTAGTTGAAGGCTAACTTTAGTAAACACCTTAAGCTGATTTCGCTTGTTTTGTCATGGGTTTTAACTCAACTGTCCCCTGTCCCCTGTCCCCTGTTTGGCACGGATCGAGTGAGTCTATTTACTCGTACCCAATGAGCCCTGCAGCCCAGTCAAGCATCCAACCAGCCCAGCAGCCATTCTACCTACCATTCTCTCGATCCTGGTTCTGGTTCTGATTCTGATTCGGAATCTGTGATTTGGATTGGGATTCTATGCTGTCGCTGGCACCAAACAAGTCAAAGTCCTAACCACCGACGACATTTTGCGTTCGACAGCCAGCGGGCAGGAAGCAGGAAGCAGGAAGCTGGAGGTGGGAGGTGCAACCACAGACGCGTCTTTTGTTTGCTTTGACAGAGGGTACAGCAACTCCCTGTTGTTCCTGGTCCTCACTGTGCCCGTGTCTGTGTTTGTTTCCAGAGTCTATGTCTGGCTGTGTGGGTTAGCCGTTTGGCATTGGTGGCAGATTTGCTCGCTGGGGCACTAAACTTTTATTTCTTAAATCTGTGAATCGTTTGTGCGCTGCCCACACACCCCTAACCCCGCTCAAAGTCAATATGCGGGCGCAAATGTACGAAATGATGAGACAACCAGGCCTGGCCAGGCCAGGCCAGCCACTGGTTTAGTTAATGGGGAATGGGACTAAAGGGGGAACTCCCCCGGACCAGAGCTGGGCCTCCTACAGTTTTTGTCGCTGCTGTTGCCGCTTCCTGTTTTTCGGGGGCAGCATCGGTTTTTGTTGTTTGGGACAAAAACAGACGAACATCCTCTACCTCCTCCATGCCGCCTAACCACATCCCAAAAACGATTCGATGCTGAGCTCTGGTGTTCTTGATGCTACTCCTGGTGCTTCCACCTCTCCTCCCGATGCTCTTCCTGCTGTCCAGCACAGCGGCAACTGAAGTGGAGTTTTGTTTGTTGTCCGTTTGTCAATTACAAAACTTTTATTGCAATTTACTTTTGTTTCAAGCTCTCTCCCCTCTGGCAACCGTACGCGCCGGTCAGGGCCCACTTTGAGGTCGTTTCGATTGTTGTTCGTTGACAATTTCGATGTTCGTTCCGTTCAAGTATTTAATATTGTACTCGATGAAGTAATATCCATTCGCTAGTTTGATGAATGGCAACGGCTGTGCGATGCCATCAAATAACGATACGAAGTGGATGCCATGGATGTGTGCCCAGGGAGGAATAGGCAAAATAATGGGATGGAAAGCATATTGGAAAGCAGAATGAAATTGTCATGGCCTAGGTACATAATTGAAGTGCTAGTCCTCGACACAACAAATTCATGGGCCATTATTTAATTTGCATTGGAATCTTTGAACCGCCAGCGCTCCCGCTGCGACTTACAAGTGGCACGGAAATGGCCAGTGAGGCAGGGCACTTGGTTTAAAGTTAACAAGTTTTTCTCCTGCAATTCCTTTTGTGCCCTGCCAGCGCCAACAAACGATGCGCTAATTTGACAAACCCACATGAGGTTCTTCGCAGGGGGGATTGAGGGTAAAGCTGAAGGTGAAGGTGAAGGTGAAGCTGAAGGAATTCAATGAGCGCCACAAACGCGCTCCCCAGGAGGCGGCGGTAAGTTGCAAGCGTCTGTGCCTCGGTCTGTTGTCCTGTGGTCGTCTTGCTTCGTCCAACCCAGAAGCACACAATCAAATCGAAATGAAATTGACCATTAATGTGTGGGGCAGGTACATGTTTATGTGTGTGTGTGTGTAAGTACGCATGTGATGGAGTGCGTGTACCTGCGGGATGTCGGATGTGGATGTGGAGTATTTGCAATGGGGCGCTTATTGAATAGCGTGGAGGGATCCAGCTGCTCAGAGTTTCTGCTCATTGACAGCAATCGTGGATGTTGCTGACACATGAGCGATTTTTATAGAGATGAACCTGGAGCTGCAAATGGACCAGAGGCTGCATTGGACAGGCGAATCAGTTGTTGAATATCCAGGCTCAAATCCAAAATAAATATAATAATACAATAATTTTGAGAGCTTGAAAATCTATACATACATACGAATAAATTAAACGTTTCGCATGAGTCGAAACTTTCGACTGCCTACAAATCATCACCAGTTATCCGCGGCATTTCGCGGCATTTCGCGGCATTTCGCGGCATTTCGCGGCATTTGGCAAACTCATTAAAAACTTGTTCCTTATCGTGAGAGGGCAAACAAAAAATTGTCAATACGGCGGGGATGTAGAATGTAGAATGGAAGGCAAAACACCTGCATAATTTTTTGGTAAAACATTTTCGAAAAACTTTGAGCACTTGGCCGTCGTGCACTCTTCGCTGCTGCTGCTGATGTTGGAATATTCTTGGTGCTCATTTCTCAAGTCCCGTAACTGCGCTGAAACTTTTCATGGCACCCAGCAGCAGCAAACATTTTTATAGCGCATTTAATTAATTAGTCGGAAAGTTGGTGGCTTTTTTTGTGTTGCCTTTCTTGTGCTTTATGCTCTTATTGCTTATTCCTTAGAAAGTTGATGAACAACCAACTCCCTGGAAGCAAACTCATTATCCCTTTTTTCTCGTCTCAACTTATTATCCGAGTCAAGGATAACTCTTTTCCTCAAACATTTTCGCTAAATTATTCATGCGGTCGCGTTAAGGTAAACTCCGCTCGGAACGCTCAATTTCCCTGGGAATCAAACTGCGATGATGGCCATACCCCATCTTCCCATCTCCATCCTAAAGTATTCATAAAATACATAATTAATTGATTAATGGCCCGAAAAGTTGAAAGTTTAGCTAAAACGCTATCGCAAGGTATCAAATTACGAGGGTGATCATCCCAAGGGGAGTTGCGACTGCCAATTGTTGGGGGCTGAAAGTTAAGGCCAAAGTTTTGTGGCAACGCCCCAGCACCCCCAGCCCCCAGCCACATTCTATGATTTTAATATTTAATTTATGATTTGGGCTCTGGTGAGAGAATCGCATGAAAGATGATAACAAAAGGCATGCATTTATCTATTTATTAACATTAACCCTAATGCAATTACTTCAACATCAAGGGATATCAGTTTGCAGTTCGAAATCTCGTCTCCTCCTTTGGTGTGTCGTTAGCCTGGGGGTTTTGCCGTTTCATGTCAATGCTGTCAGGCTGCATTCCTCAACCAGGTAGCATACATTTTTCTGTATATCCTGTTGCCTTCGTGTTCACAGAAATAGCAACAATAGGAGGCAGCCAGTGCTGCTTCCGGTGCCAGAGCCACAGTAACAATGTCACGCACACATATTTCCTGTCATTCTAGGGTTTATTTCCTCACTTGGCTCTACTTGGTTCCTTTAATTTTTGTTTTACTTTTATATCGCATCCTTGTTAACACGTGCGTTGCCTCCCCCAATTGCTGTTGGTGACCAACTTGTGACCGGCCCAGCTTGCTGTATTTTATCAGCCTGAAAAGATCTCCGTTGCATGGCCATGGCCAACAGCCGGACAAGGCTGGGAACTGGTGAGGGTTTGGGTTCGGGTTCGGGGATGGCATGTGTAAAACAAAGAAACCAGCCACTAATATAATTACATGCTGGCATGACATGTTACGTGCGAGTGTCGTTTTGAGAAATTTTAACACATTTCTAGCCGCTCTTACAGGGCAAAGCTCGTCCAGCTTGGTGGGTTGTTATTAGTTGAATTATTAAAAGTGGTCTGGGAATACATATATTTAATAAGCATTCATAACACTCTTTAAAGTCTGCTAAGCATTTGCCATCTGCCACGAAAAATGGTAGCCCGCAGCAAGGCGAATTTATTAAATCCTCCATCTCGTATCTTTTGGAAACCGCAAAAAAGAATCTCCAACAATGGAATATCTGCTCCCTCTCTCGGTTGGTCTTTCTTTTTCTTTTTTTTTTGGTAATTACAACACTTGATGCCCGGAATTTGTAATCAAAAATGCCACAAAAGCCACCAAGCGAGAAAACTAATAATAAAACGCTTAATAAATCGTCCATCACAGGCGAAGAAGAAGCTGCACTGCACAGAGGCACACAGACACAGACACAGACACAGACACAGATACAAATGCACTCATGCACATGCATCGGGGCAGACAGAGTTCTAGGGGGCAACTATATGATATATTGCTGGTCTAGCCAGGGTCTGGCTGCCACAAATTTAGGCGGCGAGCGGCGAGCGGCGAACAGTAGATGCCACGAAACTATCCCAACGGCCAACTTGTCTGCCAGGAGGGAATTCTAATAAATTTTTAGACATTTTCTTTATACAGCAGAGAGCCGAACGCACTGATAATTATTATTGGAAGACGGAATGCTCTTCCCATTGCAATTTTGGGAGGGGCCAATACATTGTTCGGCCACGCCCTGTTAAATTAGCCATTAAAAAATGTCTGTGCATTAAATCTCTGGCCATTAAAGGTGGCGCGACAATGTTGCTGCTGCCCGGGCAGATCTGCCAAGTAGATAATATCGCAATCAACCGGCCAAATGCATTTTTTATTAAGGCACACAGATACGGCAGCTCCAGTCAGCTCCAGGCGCTAGCCTCGTCAGTCCGTCAGTGGCAATCGCACTCATCCATCCTTCAACAAATTAAAACAAAGTTATGTATATGCCACTGCAACACACCATTTCTGTTTGTTTTTGTTGTGTGCTGAAACAGGAAAAAAATGTAAGAAATTATGGCCCAGCGACTGGGGATCATAAAAGAATTTCCATTTCAATGAAGTTGTAAATGCTCTTCGTGCTGCTGGCCATAACAAGTTTTCACGCTGGCTACGTCCAACAACTACAGTTTTTTAGATTGTAAACCAGTCTTAGTCGAACCATGGCATACTCTATGTTTGATTGGCAGCTTAAAAACTTTGAACGAGAAAGTCTTTGACAGCAAAAGGCTGAGTGAAACCCGTTGCAAATATAATATTTTGCGTTCTAAAATAATAAACATAAATTCTTAACATAGTTGAACAGATTGTATTCCAATTTTAAACCAGCATCAGGTACTACAAAATGTGCTAATTTGACTGCTTTAACGTTATCACCAACTTACTAAGTTACTGGATATCAAAAAGAAATGTACTAAGTAGATTACAATGTAGAACCTTTTGGCTCTGCCAAAGGTTAGTTTGGCACTTTTTTGCATGCAAAAGTTTACTGTGCTCGAGAGCGGGGGAGTGTCCGAAGTGTGAGTGTCACTCAACCATAAAAAAGACGTGAATACTTTGAAAAGTGTCCGGAAAAATAGACAACAATTCATAGAATTATTATTTGTTCTTCCTAAAGCATTATCAGTGAAAGTAATACTAAAGCTATGCTAAAAAGTCAATGGTAAGGCTAAAGGATTGCTCAACAATTTGCACAATCAATCCTTTCTGGCTGTGCGCGGGTTTTAACCCATAAGAAAGAACCCGAAAGCAACAAAAAATCGATAAGCCAAATTACGCATACGACACGTATGCACTGGCGTTTTTTTCCCGTTTACCTGCACCTGCGAGCAATTTTCAGTTGAGTGTGTGTCAGTAATTTGACATTGTTAAAGCGACTATCAAATGGAAAATCTAGAAAAAACAATTTACCAAAAACGACAAAACAAATTGCAAGCAATTTTATGTGCAAGTTCAACAAAGGCAGAATAAATCAACTGCAATCAATTGAGGGATTTCCATTTGCTTTTTATTCACTTATGGGGGAATTCGGATTCGACCCAGATATTTGAAACGAGGTACACAGAAGGAGGTACTTTGCTGCTTGTAGTTTTCAGACATCAAACAAAGTCTTGGGTGGATTCTGAGAGTTGCTCCTTTTTCTCTTAGACAATTATTGTTTCCGCTCCAGGCCTTGACCACGCCACGGGATGCCTGCTTCCGCGTTGTCATTTATAATTGTTCATTTGCAAATGGGTTGTTGTAAATGTTTGTTTGTGTATACTTTTTAAGGAGAAAGAACGCAGTTGAATTGTTTGGAACACTGGTTAGCGGTGTATCACTGGAAGTACTTCTGCAGTAAGCCCTGATCGTAGAGGCGTTTCACATCGGTGCCGCCGCCCACAAACTTGCCATCGATGAAGCATCGCGGCACAGTGCGTGCACCCGTCATCTCGCCGAGCACTTCCTGAATCTCGTTGCCATCGTCGCGCTGATCCAACTCGATAACCGTCGCATTCACATTCACTTTGCGGAACTGCTCCTTGGCCATGCTGCAGTAGGGGCAGAAGCTCTTGCTGAAAATCACCACCTTGTGAGCGCTGATTGTCTCGCGCACAAACTGCGCCTGCGGACTGTTCATGTTCATGTTCATGTTCATGTACAGAGCAGGTGTCTGCAGTTGACTGACCACTGAACCCATTGAACTGAACCAGCTGGCTAACTGTGCACACAGTCCAAAGAAAATATGGCAAATGGAGAACAGAATTAGTTGAATTTTGAGCAATGATTTTCCGACGGATTTTAAGTGAAACTCTTGTCAACTGACAGCAGGGATTGCTGGGATACGTTGGTGTTTTTGGAACGTTTCCAAAGGTTACTGCTCCCCTGGGGGAATCTCTTCAAAGTTGTTCCATCCCAAAATCGATTAAAATATCATTAATTTTTAAGGAAAACCCACAAACAGCAACCCAACTATGTCTCAAATGGGCTGCAGCTCCGATTACTGTGGTCTGTCATAAAATCCAACCATTCCCTCCTCTCGCTTATGACACTTTCACGCACTTTAATGCCTCAAAGGCGACCACAGCAACTGTTGGAATAGAGAACCGCAGAGAGCCGTAAACCCTTTTCCGAATTGAGAATCGAGCGAGGCTGTGGGGCGGAGACTCACTAATGAACTGAGGCGTTTATTTATGCAGCAGTTGAGACCTCAACTAATGGGTTGAGGACATCAAAGAAGGACATCACCTTCTTCGGGACATCCACTGTCTGGCCAGAGTTTAAATATTAAACAACCCAAAAGCGGAAAGTCACTTCAAGCGCAGGGGAATGGACTGGATCCAGAGGTGGGGCGGGAGAACTAACTGCAGACATGTGGAGATGGCAGAGAAATCCTTTTCATTAACGCGACGCTTGTTGCTGACTTCCTGCCAGGACGAACCGACCGACCCCCTGTCTGTGTCTAACTATGTCCGTGTCTGTGTTGCTCCATGTGAGTTTGTGTGTCCGTGTCCGTGTCCGTTGTCGTGTCCTGGTCGTAAGTTTCCGTGTAACAATGTAATTTATTGTGCGCACCTTTGTTTTCAGTCAACACACACTCAGCGGCTTCGCTTGGGTAATAAAACAATTTCCCCCCTACCGACACACATGTACACACATGCATATGTGCAACGTTGCCCCAGGACACCCCTCTCCGCCCCTGAAGTTGCTCCTAAGTGGATTATCCTTTCTGCAGTTTCGCCAAAAAGTTCCGGGCACCTCTTCCAGACGAAGAAGCCAACTCATTATTGTCGTCTTGTCTTGTTCAATGGCCATCTGCTCGCTAACAATTTACACATATGTAAAGAGCAAGTCCTTCGTCTAAAGCCTAAAGTCCTTAGCCATGTGTCCCACTCGCATGCTATAAATAACCTTCTCGCATGCTACAGAAAATGTCTTGCCCAAGCGCCTGCGCCTGCGACACTTTGCTCTCGGAGATTCGGAGAGTCCCGCTCGCGACATCGTAATTGTTTTGGGAAATTTACTTAACAATCATTTTAAATTGTTCGCGGTTTTTCCCAAGGATTAGTACTTAATTTGATTAGGCCCATTCAAGCCGTCAGGCCAGGCAGTTGGTTCCCCGGCTCGCTGGTGACGCCTTTTTATTGTTTGGCTCGAATTTTCCAGTTCGTTGGAGGCGCTCGTTACAGAATTTCATCGAAAGGGGTAACCAGTCGAGGTCGATGGTCGACTGGTGGGTAATAGGTGGTTTTACGTAATTCCATGTTAATATTCCTGTGAATTTCTGTACAAGATTTGAATTTATTTCTCCCATTTATAGTTAACTCTTAGTCTGCCCTTAATCTTCCATCTATTGTAATTCTCAACAGGAACTCACGCACACGATAATTCGTATCAATAACTCAACACCACTCAGATCGATGGCCATTGTTCGTTAAGTGGAGCTGCACCTGATCCAACGCACCCAAGGAACCAACCGGGAAGTGCCTTTATCTTTGTCGTCGGTCGTTGTTCTCCCTGCTAATTGGCAGCAATTTGTCTACGCAAATGGCCCAATGCCCCTTGCCCATGCCGTTCTCCCACTGATAAATTAATTTCCAATCATTAACTCAGCTATGCACTACACTACACAGCACAGCACAGCAAAGGGTTAGGCGTGTAGTGTGGGAGATTCCTCAATTGATCGTTGCCAACTGCCCTCTCCAGCTTAAGGCCCCATTTCAATGTCGGCCATTTGTCGTGCGAGGCGGCCCCTTTCTTAATGGGCTAATTGGGTTAGGCAGCAAATGGGCCAGAAGTTGGCTCTCTCTCCACCTTCCTCGCTCTGTCTCTGCCTCTGTGCGTACTTTAAAGCCATTGCATACTCGAAGGCTTCGCCAATCTTCAGCACAATTGCGACTTAATTGATTAGCTTAATTTACATTTAATGTTCATAATTTTTTTAATGGCCCAACCCTCTGTTTGGTTGCCTCCCGCGCTACCCCCATGCATCTGCAGCCATTTCGTACCGTCTGCCGCCATTTGTAAAACTTTGTTATAAATTTCTTCATTAAATATTTCCATTCACATTTCCAGGCACACAGCGAAAGGGTTCTGCCAGCAACCACCGTCCACCACCCACAGAAAGTGAAATTAAATGAACTGCGTGCGCGGTAATTATTCATGTGGGGATTTCCCAGCCAAATGCTCGCCAAGATGAGCTTAGGTGTAGAGTGGCGTCGTTCTGCTCAAGTCTCAAGTCGCTTTGCATAGTTCTTGAGGTTAGGGGGGGGGGGGCTGAGGCAGAGCCTGGCTAAATAGTTGTTCAGGTGAATAATGAAGATTGTCTGTATTCTCCAAGGTAACCGGAAGGCAAATTGTCGAGGTACAGTCGCCACAAAGTTTCAGCTCAAGCATGGATTGTACATGGATCATCTTTCCATGCTTGGATTGGCTGTTATCTGGATATCTTCAATTAATTCCATCTGATGCGGTAATCCATGTGCGTAGTTCAATTCCTCTCACTTCTTATTCATTTCCTTTATTTTTTTGTATCTCGCATTCCCCCTTTTCTGTTTCGTTGGCATTTTCCCATTCACCCAAGCAATTTAAACTTTTTTTGCCACTGCTGTTGTGGGCTTTAAAATGAAACTCAGTTAATCTCTGACAGAGGGGCCCACCAGCTTGCTGCATTTCAGGCTTTTGCCAGTTGGGGCTCAACTCATCAGCCCAATGCACATCCGTCCAATTAATCCAGTGCGTATCTGAGCGGGGTTGAGTGGCACGCATGAGGAAAACGAAGAGGGAAATGGCCCCGGTGGCAGGGAGGAGACACACGAAACAGAGCAGGAGGAGGAGGCACACCTGCGCGCCTACCGTTTTAGCAATTTTCCGCACAAATTCCAGAGACAAAACAACCAGCCACCGCTGTCTCCAGTCTTCAGTCTCTTAGCAAAGAAATGGCTAAAGCAAAGGCAAAGGCAAGGGCCAGAGAGAGGCAGTGGCAAACGCATGATCAAATGTCACAATCAATTTCAATTTGGCGCTCGAATTGAGCTTCGTTAGCGGCAAAAGCTGCCAAAGAAAACGGGCCCCACTGCTGGCAGAGGGACAGAGATAGGAGCAAAGAAAGAAAGAGAGAGAGAGAGAGAGGACGACATCGAGTGCTTAAGATGCCAAGATTTTGCTGGAGCCGGCTCTACAACTCGCCTGGATGCCACTTTTTCTAATCAACTAAGCCAAAAGAGAAGCGCCTGTAATTTAACTAATTTGTGTATGCCTCTTCGCATGTGTGTGTGTGTGTGTGTGCAGCCTGTTGCAATTGTCTCACGTTGCAAGTGCAGCCGCGCATCTCCTTGACAACTTGGCTAACCAAATATAAATTGCAAATTGCCTGGTGAATACTTGAGAGGCTCCAAGAGAGAGAGTTGCAGTCAAGACAAGCAGCACCGTTGGCAGCTGGAATGGCTGGAGGAAGATTGTCTCAGTATATCCCATGTTGATACTGGTTTCCCGCATCAACTGGTAATTGTGTAGGCCACAGTTTAGTCTATTCCAAGTATTCCACTTCGCCAAAGAACTCTTCACATCCAGAGCTCACAATTATGCACTTCGAAGTGGCCATGAGAAAAACCGAAAAACTTCCAACGCACTTTTCGCCTGAGACCTTTTGTTCCGCCTCAATAGTGGCAAACAAAAAAAACACAACGCAGTCTTTTGTCCTTTGTTTACCAATGTCTAGACGTTGCTGGTGACTTGGCTCAAAGCCCTGTGAGACTGTGCGTGGGTTGGTCCTTTTAAAGGCATTGTGCAAGTTTTAATGCAAAAATTGTGCGCGGCTCTGCTGATAACTGGTTCGTGCAGAGAATTTGTTTTTGAAAGTGTTTCACAAGAGCGAACAACGAAAAGTTCCACAAACAATGCATTGAGAGTTAAGAGTTGTTCCAAGTGGAAATGCGAAGGAATCGTTAAAGTTTATAATGAGTTTGTGCTCAAATTCAAAATGGGATTCAAATTCTCTTCACACTATCATCGATGATTGTCATCATTTGTGGTTTATAATGAGCGCCCGCCCGCCTTTGGTCACACTAAAACGGAATGGTTATCATCCCTCCGCCCCGCTCAAGATTTTAATTACCAGCGGGGGTGGGGTGTATAAAGAGAGAATAGAAATTTTCTTCAACGGTCAACGATTTGTGGGATAACAGCAGCAAATTAAAAACTTTTGCGTAAAATCCATTTTAACTTTTCAACAACTCATCGGCACTGCAGCAGCAGCAGAGCCTGCCGACAGCAGCTGCGGAGGCTAACAACAGCAGCAACAACAAATGACAAACAAACAAAAAACACTAATAATGTTTAAGGTAAATGTATGTGGACTGCAGGATACTCTACAAGGAATTATTTGAAAGTCTCCCAAATAGTCAAATAATTCCATCATAATTCCCCATAAGAGATAAAAGTAGAGATTGGAGTGGCTGCTTCTGCCACTCTTCACTTCTACAATATACCCCTAACACTCTACGACTAGCGGGTACCAATCTGAGCCTGACAGGCAAACGTTTAATAAAGGCAATGCAGGATTGGAGGCTGGAGCTGTAACTGCTGGTAGTGGTAGTGCTCAACATGGAGTTCGAGGAGTAAGTATTCACAGTGGGGTTCTCATTCGTAGTCGCAGTTGCAATCCCTTCTGTATGATGAATAACACGATGACGTTGTCGACCAGTTAACCAACTCCGTCCGTCGC